AATATACACATGAAGAGTTCAGATGCAAAAGTCTCTAAGTGCCGTCTGAAATTTTCATCTAAAATGAAAATTTTTATCAGGCTCCTATGCTTAGGTTCAGTAATTTTATTCTAATGGCAATATATAAGTATTTTTCTATGCAATTTCTATGCCAATCAGTGGTAACATTTGTTATTTTGCTGCTTGGGTCACATGTTAGCTGGACATTTATGGAATAGAAATTTTTGCGTTTAACAAATTGATCTTCATATTGGTGGGGGGGCTTGAAAGGGTAGCTTTATCCCTTTCTAATAAGGAGGAGATTGCAATTTGGTGTTTCTCCACAGTGTGGCCCACTAGGGCTGCTCGATTATGAAAAAAATCATCATCATGATTATTTTCATCAATATGGGGGGTTGGGGGGGGGCTTCCTGATGGAAGGGGTCCTGAACCCCTAACCCCATAGAGAGAAGAAATATGAAAATAAAAGACATAAAAGAAGTAGTAATGAAGGTGACAATCAGATGTAGTCAGAGCCGATCCGCCCTATACGCAAAGTAAGCAAGCTGCGTCGGGCCCCCGAAACACCAGGGGTCCCCTTCCTCTCAAGGATGATTTAATTTTAGTTTCGTTTTTAATTTGAAAACTTATGTCATTTCTTTTAATGCGGTGCGTTGCCGCCCTTTCTACATAAAAATAGTCGAATCATGTAACGTGAATGTCATACAGTGTCTTACTCAGACAAAAAAAATAACGTGTTGAAAGCGTATAGAGCCGTGGAAGAGACACCGTTTCTCAAGCGGACAAAACATAAAGATTGTGTATTTAAAATGTGTGGTTTAATGGTGTCTTTTTTACCAATATATTACCACGCCTATTATTAATTAAGGCAAATATCATTGATATAAGTACTTCTGATCTCTTTCTATTAAATACATTTCCCCCTCAATTTTAGACATTAATTATAGCCATTAAACATTACAGTGTAATTGAAAGCCATGATTTTTAACATTTGAAAGGCTTTTAAAACAAAATAGTGAACTACTAATATTAAGTTTATAAAATGATACCTTAAAGGGTTAGTTCACACATTTTCAGAAAATTAGGCTGTTTTACTCACCCCAGAGGCATCCTAGGTGTACATTTACATTTAGTAGACGCTTTTATCCAAAACGACTTACAAATGAGGACAATAAAAGCAGTCAAAACTAACAAAAGAGCAATAATATATAAG